CACAAGCATATTACCTCACAACTCTGTTAAAGGCGATAAACTTAGTCTTGAAGTAGTGCAAAACTGTGTCTGCCTGGGCAGCTCATGTATGCAATGGATAACAGACTGTAACATCAACAGGATAAAATGTCATGGAGCACTCTTGAAGGACTGAAAATGTTATTTTATTGGAAACTGTCGTTTTGCTCGAAATGGGAAGTTTTCGATCAGTCTGTGCTCCCAGTGCTAACCTACAGATGCGAAATATGGACCTTAAGCCGAAAAACTATTCATAGACTGCATACTGCGTAATACAGCATAGAAAGCTGTATGTTCGGAATGGCAAAAGAAGACAAATGAATGGATGAGAGCACGAATAAAAGTCGGCAATGTCATTGACTGAGTGAAAAAATTAAAGTGGTAGTGAGCAGGACATGGTGCAGGAAGAAACAATCATCGCTTAATCAAAGAGTCATGAAATTTGGTTTCAAAAGTGAGTTAACGGTCCGTACAAAGCCACCTTCAGATAAATGACAGGGTGAGCGGAAGAAGTTTCCTGGGTCAAGATGGACGAAAATAGCAGATAACAGAAGTTTATGAATAAGTCTTGAAGAGGTATCCATCCAGCAGTCGATCGCAGAAGGCTGATTATGATTCTCGCTACAACGAAGAAACAACCTTGTCCCAACGTCCTATTCATATGCAGCGAACGCTTAAGAATTGAACAGTGCGTGGCACACGGAAAATGTAGAGCAGAAACAGTTCCCCTAACTTCCAGTTGAGTTTGTTGAGGTCGGGTCGTCACCAGTGAATGGAAAGTTCTCTGCGAGTGGAATGCGAAGCGTTTTCAAACTATGAATATCAATGATTTTCATTTTTTGACTCCATCGTGATGACTGCGTGATTTCGCAGCTTCAGCGCGCTGTTATCGAATGATTGCGAGTTGGAGTTTATATAATTGCAGATGGTCATCTGTATCAATTACGATTGTCGCAAAAACGAAATCATGAAATAAAATGAGATTAACCTGCATTCATAGTTTGATAACCTTTCGATGGTTGAAGTTAAATTATTGATAAAGGTAACCATGTGCCAGTGACATAAATTCAAACTAATGACCGCACACTGCGCACTTACATCGCGCAGTCGTGAAAAGGTAACTGTAATAAAAAATTTGTTAATTTGAAAACGGCGTCGTTCTTCACTCACAGAGACCTATCATTTGATATATAAGATGATTTGCTGAACCTTGCAATTGATGCAGTTGACCATTGTCCAGTTATATAGATTCAATGCGGCAATTGAGGATCTTAACGCTGCCACCAACCAGCAGTTTGCCTCAAAACGGCTGCGCCAAAACGACATAGACCGCAGCCGGAGAGATGAGGGTATCAGCGTAGGAAGTGTCGAGACGAGAAGGTTGCTGTTTGCAGACGGCCTTGTTTTGTTGATATTTTTTGAAACTGATCTCCAGGATTCGTTGGAAAGGTTCGCAGCCGAGTGCGACGTGGCCGGCG